ACATGTTGCATAAAATGTGTATGTACCATCTCCTCCTTATCTTGAATCACCACCAGATGAGAATTCTTTGTTGCACAGTCAGCTTGGCTCTCCTTCCAGCGTCTCATGTCCTCTGATCTCCAGCTTCTCCCTGCCCTGTAGGGAAGCCAGTCTACAGGGCAGATTCTGCAAGTAGAATTGACTAAGAAGGAAAGAAAGAGATGCCTCATTAATGTTTCTCAAGAGGCGTCCACTTCCAATGCAGAAAAAATGCTTAAGAAATCACCAAACGTAGCAACCACTAGCTTTTGCCTTCCTGCACCAGCAAAACTGTGAATTCCATTGTCTGCTGTCACATTTTCAGTAAACTAAAAGTTTGCACCTCATTCTGAATCAATCTTCAGCTATCAAGTCATAGGAAATGCAAGTGAGGTCTTAACCCAACTGGAAGTCCCCTTCGGGATACATCAGTGGTAGATCTACATTTTTGAGGTCTTGAAGCTTGAACTGTTAACCAGCAATGAGGTCTGAGCAGCCACTGTTACCTTCTTCAATGGGGTTGTTCTATGACAGATCACCACATTTTTCCAAAAATATTTAACCTTTATATCTTAGATTTTTAAGCAATCGTAACTTAAGTCACTTTTGGGGTCCCTCCAGAATTGTCCAGATATGCCCTAAGCCCAAGTTTCATTATTATCATAGTAGATCCCCACCCGCCCCCGTGATACATTATATATTAGAAATACTGTTAAGAATTTGTTTATGTTTTCTGGACATAAGTAGAATTAGGAGATATCAGGTTGCAAAGACACTATAACACTGGGAGTAAAATTCAACATACTCTATTTACACATATACAAAGAACATAGACATTCAACTGGTAGCATGACATAACATGATACAATACATAGCATACAAGTGATCTCACTTACAGCAGATAAAATGTCCTCTTTACACATGCCTTTTATACATCCTTGGGACCAATCACAAAATACATTACTTAATTGTTCACTTACATAAGGTTACATCATTTTCTCCAGCTGTACAACGTCAAGTCTTCAGCCTTAGTACCCACCTGAATCCACTTAGTACATGACTCAGGTAAAATCAGCCATTTTACTTTTTACTATACAACATTTATATTTAATACATATATATTTAATACATTTTCAGATCAAAATCTCAACACCTCTCCTTAAATCAATTGTCGTATATATCAATTTTATTGTATAGATGAACATGTTTCTGCATGGTCAAAGGCTTTGTGAAAATATCAGCAATATTATTTTCACTTGGACAATAATGCAAATCTATCACTTTTTGATCCACAGCACCCTTTACATTGCAAAACTGTATGCAAATGTGCTTACTTCTACTTTTCATATGACCCTCAGTTGCTAACTGAATACATGTTCTGCTGTCATTGTGCACTGTGACAGGTAAGTCAACTTTAATGTTCACATCTTTAAGCAACTGAACAAACGATGTGATTTCTTCACATAAATCACTTAATAATGCATATTCTGCTTCAGGTGTGCAAATGGCAACTAAGTTTTGTTTTCTAGATTTCCAGCTTATTAAAGGCCCTCCTAGATTTATTGCCACTCCTGAAATGTATTTCACAAGAACCCCAATCTGAACCAGCATAACATTCTAAGTTCAGATTTCTACATGGAGCATTTAGAAAAACTGGCCCTGGCTTCCTCACCCTTTGCACCCACAGTCTGGTTCTGATATGTGGATGACACCTTTGCAATTTGGAGCCATGGTGAAGAAAAATTGGAAGAATTTCTGAACCATCTCAACAGCATTCACCCAAATATTCAATTCACCATGAAAAAGAAATAGAGGACCAACTCCAGTTCTTAGATGTCATGGTCGTACGCAAAACTGACCTACGACTGGGTCACAAGGTCTACAGAAAACTCAACCACACAGACCGGTACCTACACAAAAACTCCAACCACCACCCATAGCAAAAAAGAGGCATAATCAAAACACTGGTAGACCGTGCAAATCGGAAGTGTGAAGCTCAGTTTCTCAGCACTGAACTCAACCATCTGAATTGGGCCCTACAGGCAAATGGCTACTCCAAAAATGAAATCACAAGAGCCATCAAACCAAGAAAACAACACAGGATCCCCCTCACCACTGCAGGAGTATACCGGATACCTTGCAGTTGTGGCCAGATATATATTGGAACCACAAAATGAAGTATCCACACCAGAATCAAAGAACATGAGAGACACTGCAGACTAAAACAACCAGAAAAATCTGCAGTAGCTGAACATGCCCTAAAACAAGCTGGACATGAAATTCTATTTCAAAATACTGAAATACTGGACAACACCAGCAATCATTACGTTAGACTGCACAGGGAAGCCATTGAAATCCATAAACATCAACAGAACTTCAACAAAAAAGAGGGAAGTTTGAAACTCAACAAAACTTGGCTCCCAGCTCTGAAAAATACAGAGTGCAAAAGGTCGACGAACTCTACCAAGTCACAAGGACCAGGGATAACAACACACAAGAGACCAGCTAATGACACCCATCAATCAGAGTGACAAATAATCTCTCCTCCTTATCACAACAATACACCCACAACAAGACACAATAATCACCCATCTCCTGAAAAGGACAAAAGCTGATCTCACAGCCATAAATAATCAACTCCTAAACAAACTGCACCAGAGCACAAAGTGCTGTCCTCTGAAGATGTCCATGGCCACAGAGACTGGCGAAACGGTAGGAAGAACAACCTTCAGAACACGGCCAGAGAGCCCGAAAAACCCACAACCATTAGATCCTGGCCGTGAAAGCCTTCGCGAATACATTAAGTTCAGATTGTTAGATACATTTAACTTCAATTTACAATTGATTGTTCCCTTTAAATATCTCAGCACTCTTTTCACACCATTCCAGTCCCTCTGCAAAGGCTTTGCAGCATTCTGACTTAAAATGTTTACTGTTGCTGCAATATCAGGTCCAGTCCAGGATGATAAATATAGTAAAGATCCTGTTCTGGACTGTTACAACTATTTGTCTAAGAATTCTTCACTTTCATGTTCTTTGTGAAAGTTCGTTACCATGGGTGTTTTTACAGGACTACAGTTTTCCATTCCACTTTCTTTCATTATTATTTTTTTTTATCTTGTTACCTTGACTTAATAAGAAATTTCCTTCAATCTCTTTTTCTGGACCAAGAGAGAAATGTGAGGAGGAAAGAAATAAACAGCAGCAACCCTAAGAATATCAGTCTAAGTTGAGGAAAGGTCGGCATAGATCAGAACAGGTGAAGGAGAAGGCGGGAATCTGAAGGAGCACCTTTCCTTTTTTATCTACTCCATGTAAGTCAGTTGAGGTGTGCCTGATTACTTCCAAGCAATATAAAGCTTGTAGTAGGGAGGAAAGACCGACACAGCGTTTAGCAGCAAGAGAGGTGATTTTTTTTATTTTGGGAAAAGGACAAAAGGTTATGCACTGTCCTCAACCTCATGTTTGCTCCCCAGTTTAGCTTCCTAGCTGCTTGTTCTCCAACTGTTTTTCAGTCTTCAAAAAGACTGTTTTAGTCCAGATTCTCACCTCATGGTCTTGCCCTTATGAAGGGGCAGACAGACTATGGCTACCACCAGCCCCAGCCATCGGTGATGGTGGTCAGGGCTTAGGCAAACTGTGTTCCAACAACTTCTCTAGAGGGGGACCCCAAGTACTCTGCTCCTGCTTTGTCTAATTTGTCATATATGTTGCTCATCTACTTGTTTAGTCTGAGCGAGCCTATTAAAAGTGTAGCTGGAGCGATCCTTAGAAATGACCTCTGGTTGTCATAGTACAAACTTTACTGATCTCCTGTAGCTTATATATTAGGTTTGCGTTGTTTTGTGACTGATCATCAAGACGTAAACACAGGCTTCATTTTTAAGTGTTTTAAATTGTTTTAAAACTTTTAAAAATCTTAATATGTGTTTAATTGTTTTTTTTAAATGTGATATTTATACCATGTTTTAAAATCTGTTTTATCTGCTGTGAGCCACCTTATGTCCCCTGGGGAGAAAGGCAGCACATAAATAATATGAATGAATCAATGAATGAATCATTTGTCTTCTAATTGCTCTGACATGCAGGAGATTCATGTCAGAGCAATTGGAATGGTTTGGAGACGTTGACTTCCTGAAACATTGCCATGCCTTCACCCGTTCATGATATGCTCTCTGTAGTACCCAGTTTGACCATGACTTGCCAGTCACTGTCAGTGAAGAAAGTTTATTGACAAATGGTCTGAGATGCTTCAAAACAGCAGAGATTAAGATGTCCATTACAAGGGCACAAATAAGCCTAAATTCCTCCACATGTAACCATTGTGTTTTCTTTGTCGAACAACTAGTTGCAAAGGGACAACTGAATAAAATTATCATATATTAATTTTACCTGAGGAGCTATCCCGGCTTCGGTTGCAGATTTCCCTGAGTAGACGGGATTGGAAATCTTCTAAGGTGTTATTACATTTTGTTCCGCTTACATCTGCATCAGGGTTTCCATTCTCCAAGTGCAGAACTTTTGAAAACAAATAAATAATTAACAAGCAGCTCATCAAATCAAACAGTGTTCAAAATATGAATCCTGAGGAATGTAGAAAGAAGGCTGATGTTAATGAGAGAATGGGCAATATTTATAAGGGAGGACTTTGGTGTGTCTAATTTGTGTTTGGAACAGCATTTCATCTCCAGCCCAGATATTAATGGGTTCACAATAGCTTCAGAATTTTGGGGTATGCTACCTACCTAATAATAAGATTTATACAATCAGTTTTTATCAGTTTTTTAAAAAAATATATCTCTGTGGCCAGAATCCAACTGGATATTGTTGTTCTTATAACAATAATTCAACAGCATTCATTTTAGCAGTGAATTGTCACTAGTGAAATTGGCATGGGCATTTCTTGTCACACACCAAGTTGGATAGTTCCCGCAGCTATAAATACTCAACTATCCAACAAACAGCAACAGAGCATGGACAGAGTTCCTACTCCAGTCCTCTGAAGATGCCGGCCACAGAGACTGGTGAAACGTGAGGAAGAACAACCTTCGGAACACGGCCAAAGAGCCCGAAAAACCCACAACAACCATCAGGGTCTTATATTATTTTTTGCTCCAAAAATGTATTAGGGCTTATTTTCTGGGGATTTTTTTTTAATGTACAACAATCTACCTTTATTCAAATACACTCCTATCATCTTCTTCCGGTTGCTGCACAATGATGGAGGGCAGAGTTTCACTTAACTGAGGCTTATTTTCAGGTTAGGTCTTATTTTAGGGGAAACAGGGTAGCAAACCGGGACTGTGCAGTAAAAAGATGCTGAGTTAGCTCTGGATATGGTGAAGTTATAAATTTTTAAAATTTGTCTTATCATTTACTTTTCTGTGCAGAAAAGGCTCAAAGAACTATGCCCCTTCACAGGAGGAAATGGGTGCAGAACTTGTGAAAAGCTTTCCCAAAACACCCCAGATTTGGTACAGAGCCCATCAAGATTAGGTCAGAACCGTTTGCCAGTTGGGTTGCCATCAGAAACCTCATTTGAATAGTAAATTTTTGTTGTTTGTTTGGATTGCTCTTTTTCTGTAGTGACTGGCAGAGTTCTGCTTCACCTAGCTGTGCAATAGTTCTCCTCTAGTGGATCATGCAGTGTCGTCGCTCTATTTGCACCCTCTAGTCAGCCGTGGTGCCACTAGGATCCTTTTTGAAACAGCAGCGAGTAAAACAAAATAAAGCAGGCAAGAAACCATGTTGTAAAAGAGATCTTTTATGGCAATGTTTTTTTAAAAGAATGATGGGGTGTGCAGAGCCATAACTAGCAACCTGCCTACTTGGAACTAATAGCACCCTCTGCTCCGCCATTTTAACATGTGCCAAGGATATGAAGAGCACATGAAAAAGAAGGAGATGTGGTGTTCTCCCTAAAGATGAAGAAAGTTCATTTTTCAAAAAAAGGAAAATAAGTCTAAGAGGTATTGTTATTTATTTTCCAAACATCCGTCAGTAAATTTGCCTTTAAATTTCAGAGTTTTCCAAATTTTGCTGCTGCGGGGCAAAGATGCAGTTGCTCCACTCTAGTCACACACACACACACACACACACTAAAAAGCAGACTCTCATTCTAAAAAAACTTATTTTGTTTTGTTTTTCGAGACAGGTCAGTTGCTGCTGGTGCCCACTCTCTTTCCTGTTGCTCTGTCTCTTGTCTATCTGTTAACACCATCATAGAAAATGAGGTTAAAAATACATAAACCATATCAGTAAATCTAACTTTTTTAGGAAGATGCTTTGCTAACCAGCTTCTCAGAAACTGAATCAAAAAGGAGGAGTGTTGTCTACTCCTGTGTTTGAGGCTGGGGAATGGAGCATGCTAACCTCTCCTCACCTCACTAGTCAGGCGAGAAATTTGGTTTTTTAAAAGTTTATTAATGGGGTTTTTTTTAACAACCTTTTAATGTTAATGAGGTTAATCACAGTAGTAAAGGTTATATTCCATGGCTAGTACCTTTTTACACTGTAGAAAAGTGAGTGCTGGTGGGTGTTGCATGTGTGGAAAGGAAACTACTGGTAGATGTGCCAGAGTCAAAGGCCAGAATACCATCCTTCTTCCTTCTCTCTCCTTTCCTCTCCACCTGACCCAACGGCCCCTTCTTCTCTCCTCTGTCCTCATCTCTATGCCCAGCAAACTGCCAGAGCAGAAGAGGCAGATCTGTCTTCCCAAAGGTCTGGCTTGAACACTGGCAGAAGGCTTTTGAAATCAAGAGAGTCACATGCAATCTTTGGGCATTGTTTCTGCACCCCAACATGTACAGTATATTCCAACAAAAGCTGGTGTTGTTTGTAAGCCTGTGCAAGGTCCATGCAGGGTCTGTAGGTTTTGGAAGATACTAGCTAGAATCCTGTTGGATATTTGAGGGTATGCGAGAGGAATTGTAGATGTTGTCATGGATAACTGATGAGGTGCTGCTTGCATGTCAGTCATATACCTGATCATGCACCTAACCTGGTATGCATACGGCACATTATCCATTAGTTGAAATTAGCTATGTCAACACCTGCGATTCCTTCGGTGCAGCTATAAACATTTAATGCGAATTTAGCCGTTGCTATTAAAATGCAGATAATAATTTCTAAGGCAGTGGTTCTATGAACATTATCCCCACTGAACATATTATTAGTACAACAACATTATTAGTAGCTTGGGAGTAAACTGAATACATTATCCCCACTGAACATATTATTAGTAGCTTGGGAGTAAACTGAACGAAAAGACAGCTTTCATGTTATTAGAGTGTATTAAAATGTTTCATGAACATCATGCAATGATAACTGAAACCGTGAAAATATGCAGTTACCCCGCATGACAGTTTTTTCGCTAGACATTGACTTTTTGCAATCGCTGTAGTGATTTGCAAAACAGTGATTCCTATGGGGGAATTTCACTGGACAATGTTTGGTCCCTGCTTCGCAAACTGATTTTCGCTAGATGACGATTTTGACAGCTCCCTCCGTGCTCACAAAACAGGTGTTTTCGGGACCTAAGCTTCGCAAGACAGCGATTTAAACAGCTGATCAGCGGTTCGCAAAGCAGCTTTCCTATGGCTGCTCTTCGCTAGACAACGACAATTCTTCCCCATTGGAACACATTAAACAGGTTTCATAGCATTCCAATGGGGAAATGCTTTTCGCTAGACAATGATTTCGCTAAACAGCGATTTCAGTGGAATGGATTATCGTCATCTAGCGAGGCACCACTGTACTCTAAAACACAGCTTTCTTTAACTACAAGGTTATGTTAAGAGACATTTCAAAGATAACTTAACAGTAAACTACTGCTATCATTTCATAATAGGACATTAGAAATAGATAGGATACTTATTTTAAAAAGTACTCCTGCCAAGAGATAATATTAAAAGTGCATATAATTATGAAAATATACTATACCTAATACTTACCCAAAAATATCACCGCTGCCAGGAGAACGACATTCCCAATGTACCCCACCCACAGAGCAATCTGGTGCCAATGGGAATAATGGGGAAGAGCTGTAAGAAGTAACAGCTAATGTATGACATGGAAATTTGAGCATAAAATATTTCAGGAGGCTCTGTTCCTCCAACTGTCAGCAGGTCAAGAAATCTTACAAATGTAAGATGCTTGGGAAGCTGCTGTTTTTGTTCTGTTTTTCTGCTCAGTACATTTAAGGATATCTATTGGAAAAATGAATGCACAAATCTAGTGATCTATTGAAATAAGTCAATGGTTTGTTTTTAAACTTTCTGTTCCTGGCACTGTATTTTTCAGCCGTACAAACAAGAATTAATGTAAAATATTCTCCAGAAAAAAATATATTGTCCAGTTTGTTTGTTTGTTTGTTTGTTTGTTTGTTTGTTTGTTTGTTTGTTTGTTTAAAAAAGGCTGACAGGAAAAACATCGATTCATGAAAATGTGAATCTGGAGAAGAGCTTTGTGGATACCCTGGACTCCCAGAAAGGCAAACAAGTGGGTCCTTGAGCAAATGAAGCCTGAACTATTTCTGAAAGCAAAAATGTTGAAACTGAGGTTGTCCTACTTTGGGCACATCATGAGAAAGCAGGATTTTCTGGAAAAGACAATAATGCTGGGAAAGGTGGAAGGCAGTAGCAAAAGAGGAAGACCGGATATGTGATGAACTGACTCCCTAAAAGAAGCCACTGGCTTGAGTTTACAAGAGCTGAACAGGGCAGTTGAGGACAGGACATTTTAGAGACAGTTCATTTATGGGATTCAGAGAAAACCTTACAGCACATAACATAATTCTCCAGAAAAACAACCACTGATAGCTGAATGTAGCACTGCAGAATTTGCACGAGAAAACTGAGCAAAATGGTTGTTGTAAGTTTTTCTGGCTATTTGGCCGTGTTCTGGAAGTTTTTCTTCCTAATGTTTTGCCAGTGTCTGTGGCTGGCATCTTCAGAGGACAGGAGTTAGAACTCTGTGTTCAGGTGTAGTGTGTGGGATTGTGATCCCACAGCTACAAATACTCAACAATCCCACACACTACACCAGAACACAGACAGAGTTCTAGCTCCTGTTCTCTGAAGATGCCAGCCACATAGACTGGTGAAATGTTAGTAAGAAAAACCTCCAGAATACGGCGAAACAGCCCGAAAAAACTACAACCATCGGATCCTGGCTGTGAAAGCTTTTGAGAATACAAAGTGAACCATAACTTTACATAGGCTGTTGAAGCGTGCATAGAATTCACATATTAAACACAAACACATGCAACTACATGTGCACCCATTCTTTTTCTCACTCACCCACTTTTTCTCACTCTCACACACACACTTAATCCATCCCACCCCTCACAGAGTACAGTTGATTTCTATCTATATACTGTAATGTATTTTCTCTGGAGAGAATTTCCTACTTACTGGCACTGACACAATTAAATCTATCAATGAGGACAAAATCAGCAAAGACTCACAGAAGCATGAAACTCACATTGATGCGGGCATCGCCCTTTCAGGCTTCATACCCACAAGGCTGCAAGTTTAAAAAACAAACTGGTGATCATAACCCACACTTACTGCACTGCTGAGATGGATGGAGCAGGGTTGACCTATGTGGTTCAGAAGAGATGTTGAGATCGGCATAGACTACTTCCCCAGCCATGCTGGCAGCAATAAATAATACTGACAGAGGGAAGGCGGATAGAATCAGAGTCAGTGCATGTGGTGCGAACGTAGTTGTCCAACATCATCCCTGGACAGAAATTGCTAAACATGCCCATATATGGAATTTCCCCTTGCATCAATAAATAGTATTTCTTTGGCTACATTTTGGGCCTGTCCCAAGACTCCAAGTAGACCCAATTATTTAATGTGTGCTCCTAAAAGGGGCAATTACAATTTGGAACTGACTTAGCACCTTTATTCTGTCATAGGGACAACAGCACTGCATAGCTCCATAGGTGGTAGGTCTGTATTCGCACTACAATTCACAGTGTTTCATAGGGGACAAAATGGCATCTCTGTGAGAGAAGTGCCAGCCGCAGAGGCTGGTTTGTCCACAACCTAGGTGGGAAAGAAGAGGCGTTCCCAAGAAGTTCTGGGGAGCTGCTCAGCCTGCTGTCCGACCGGGCTGGCCCTGGAGGTTGGGCAGAAAGGGCATTTGGCCCGTTTCGGGAGGGCATCCAATTTAGTTGTCTCAGAGTGTGATTATTCTCTCAGTCCCTCTGAGACTTCAGTTGAGTCCGAGGCGCTTCACACTTTAAGGCCTTCTCAATTGTTGGGAAAGAGGGACGAAATATGTTTGTGTATTGGTGTAAACATAGATAGGCTATGACATGAGCTTTATTCTAATAGCACCATGAACCTCAGGACAACTTCAACGCTAGCTAATGATTTTTTTTATTTATTTAACTTATTTGCCGTCCGCTCTACCCAAAGGCCTCTGGGTGGCTTACAACAATTAAAATACAATAAAAAAGATAAAAAGATCTCCACACTCTTTATTTCAAGTCCAGGGAAATGCTTAACATCATCCTCTCCTGCCTTTTCATTGCTGCTGTTGGCAAGTATCCCAACTGTATTGTCTAGAAATTTGTCTCTGAGGGATGGGAGCATCAACTTCCAGCTGTTGCGGATGCTTGAACTGGTATAGCTGCCTCCATCTTCTTAGCTGGGTGTCTGTGGGTCCAAGTATTTTGGGGCGGTGGTTGCAGGATGGTTGTGGTGATGTCTAGGGGGAAGATTTCTATGACATGTCACACTTTCTCTGCAACCTCTACTTGAACCCATAAGCAAGTTTAAACATGTTAATGAGTAGTCTGGCCTTTTCTCACCAGATTACTCAGAAACATGTCCAAACCCATTTATAAATTCAAACATAGGGTGCAGAAAAAATAGGGCACTTCTAGATGCTGAGGCTGCATCTATTGTGGCTGTTGTCAGCTTTCCTGCTGCCTATATCTCCTCTCCCATCCTTTTTGTTTTGCTTCAGCCTTTAACCATTTTCTAATCTCCAGATTAAATACGGAAGGCGCTGTTGCCTGTGACAAGCCTGTCAGCCTTTCCCCTTCCAACTAAGTTCTGGTCAGGATCTGGGCCTTTGCTCCCAATACTAATTTCTGCCTAGAAAATCTAGTGAGCAGATGCAATATAAAATATCATTTCTCCCCTTCAAGAAGCCATGGAGGTGGGAACCTATAAGCATGAGTCTGGCCCCGCAGCACTTTACAACCACAGCAGATACTAGGTACATGCACATCACACCCCCTCATTCTCTCCCTGAAAATATATGTACACAGATTGGGGCTAACTGCTCTGTGCCCTTTAGGAAAAAAAAAATCTGGCCTCATTCTTGTCCAGGCCGATGGCAGAATGTGTGCATTTCTGGATCTCCGTTGTGGAGTGGAACAGCCCCCCACCCCAATGGAGATCCATTGAGGAAAATCAAAAGAGCTGTGGCTTGAGTGGGAGCTACACACTGCCTTCAATTTCATGAGTGTAGTCTCTTCAATTGTATTGGGCCATGCACCTTCTCAAGGCTCCAGTCACCCCCAACAAATGTTTGCACATGTCCTAGGAAAGGAAGAATGAGTTGTTCCTTTACTCTCCAGTTCGCTCCAGTCCCTGGCTCCAGTACTGTATATATAAAGCTGAGCTGTCAATCAGCTCCTTTTACCTCCCGTGTGCTCCTTCCATGGTTTCCACCCGTCTGTAGTTCCTGTGCAAGGTAAATGGTTGCAGCCAAGGCCACTTCCTTCCCCCTCATGGAGCATATGTTGAGCCCTCTGTGGCACCTAAGTGGTTGGGGTGTCCGGAGGGATGGTGGGGTTTTGTCATAGGTTCAGCACACACTTTCCACCTGCCTTCGTGCTGGTAGCTCAGTCAACACTAGGATGTTTTACTTACCGTTTCCTCTGTCCTCAGTTCAAATGGCTGAATGCCTTTTAGAAGTCTCTAAGTCCCATAAGTGAGGAGGAATTAAGGAACCTTGTAATGAGGGTGAAAGAGGAGAGTGCAAAAAAATGGTCTGAAGTTCAACATAAAAAAAAAAACTAAGATCATGGCCACTGGCCCCACTGGGAAATAGAAGGGGAAGATATGGAGGCAGTGACAGATTTTACTTTCTTGGGCTCCATGATCACTGCAGATGGGGACAGCTGCCATGAAATTAAAAGACGCCTGCTTCTTAGGAGGAAAGTAATGGCAAACCTCAACAGCATCTTAAAAAGCAGAGATATCACCTTGCCAACAAAAGTCCGAATAGTCAAAGCTATGGTTTTTCCAGTAGTGATGTGTGGGGAAAATTTATGCTGTTATGCTGTTACAATGTATATGTCTGTGTCAGTAGCAAATGTATATCTATGACAATGGCAGGCCTCATGCTAAAACTGCAAGTCACTAGTTTCCAGTAAGGATGATCATTAACCTGCTGTCTATTGTCTCTGGATAATGTAGTTAAAGTGTTCGTGTATTCAGGAACTTGTCTGTGTATTTGGATGGTATCTGTGTCTGTTTACTGTTGACTGTCTGTTTGCCAGCCTGTCTGTTTACCAACCACTGTGTTACTGATGCCTTTGTATTCAAGGAAATTAGCTGTCTCTGTTTACTAGCACTCTGGTTATTCTGGCTGTGTATTCAGGAAATTAGTTACCTCTGTATTGATTAACTAGAGCAAATGTAGTAGGGGGATACAATAAAAGAAGAGAGGGCGGGGGAACGAGGGATTCCGCCTCTGAACAGCTGCCATACACTCGAGTGTCCCGTCTTTTCTTTTCCCCCTTGCTGGTCAAGGAGAAAGATCCCTGCCCCTGAGGCTTCATCTGCAAGATCCCTACTTCCTCTCATCTTGCAGATCCCGACAGTGATGTATGGAAGTGAGAGCTGGACCATAAAGAAAGCTGACCGCCAAAGAATTGATGCTTTTGAATTGTGGTGCTGGAGGAGGCTCTTGAGAGTCCCCTGGACTGCAAGGAGAACAAGCCTATCCATTCTAATGGAAATCAAACCTGAGTGCTCACTGGAAGGACAGATCCTGAAGCTGAGGCTCCAATATTTCAGCCATCTAATGAGAAGAGAAGACTCTCTGGAAAAGACCCTGATGTTAGGAAAGTGTGAAGGAAAGAGGAGAAGGGGACGACCGAGGGTGAGATGGTTGGACAGTCTCATCGAAGCGACCAGCATGAATTTGACCCAACTGCAGGAGGCAGTGGAAGACAGGAGGGCCTGGCGTGCTCTGGTCCATGGGGTCACGAAGAGTCGGACACGACTAAGCAACTAAACAACAAGAACAAAATTCCATGAATGGTAGATGGAACACAAAGGATCTGTGAGGGTATTGCTCTACTCCTGGGTTGATCCTGAGGCTCTTTGCTCCAAAATCACACAGATAACTCTCATGCCATTTACTTTTGCAACATATCTCTGAAGTCTGTGCATATCATGTACTCTTCAAATCTGAAGCTGCAAGTAGAAATGTAATTTAAAAATTAATACTTGCACAGGGAGAAGAAGAATAGAGTGGCTGACTGAACCTTAGAGCAGGCTCAATATAATCAGCGGGAACTGAATTATTTTGCAAGAGTGAGCAAAGAAGGCAACTTGCAAACAGACTTTATTTTGTGAATGTCTTGGATAGCACATTGCACAAATGTGTGAACATCTTGACATAAATGTACTGAAATTGTGGGTTGGCTGGATTTTGCATTTTGCTAATTTACTGAACAGGGTTTCTTTGATGTGTTTTTAAAAATAAACTTAAACAATCTTTAACACAGAACCAAACCTGAGGAGAAAATTACTTCTGTGGTCAACGCCATGTCTGTGAAATGTTCACCCGACTGTAGTCTAAAGTGGAACAAATTAGTCACTTACAATGCTAGCTGAACAGAGGAGTTAGTAACCACAAATGAAAACAGAGGTTGCTGCTGGTGCCCTCGGTAGCACACCAGAGCATGGTGGGTGGATCCACAGGTGAAAAGTAGACATGGTCAAAAGTAGATACCCACACAGACACATGCACACATGCACATAGAGACTGGTAGGCATGCAGCAAGCCTCACACACACTCACTCAGAAGCAAGTGGATAGGCAAGCACGCAGATAAGCATTTGCACACACAGACACCTTCTGTTACCTCCACCAGTCCATTCGATCTTGTCCATCTGGCCACCCCGGCTCATTCTGGGGTCAACAGGCAGCCCTTCCTCCATAACCATATCCATCGATTCCATATGGTTCATCTCAAGCGTAAGAGGATTTATTGTAACCAGGGGGGGGAGGGGAAGGAAATTCACTTCACACATGCCACTTTTCCCAGGAGTAGAGTTAATGGCATTTGACCCTGAAAAGTCACAGCTTGGTCCAGGCCCCGAGTTAACTCCACTGGTCTCCTACCACGGAGGTCTCCATGGGGGACCAAAGGTGGAAGCCGTGAGGAAGGGTGGCTTATCAATGTGCAGCCCACTTTGGGCCGAAGGCTCACTGGGGTTGGCTGCTGCTGGAGGCACTGCTGCTGTTCTGTTTACCTTTCCTGCCTCCTGCGTCACCTTTCGGCGGGTGTGGGGCTCACGTGGCCTGGCACAGGTTGTCAATGGCAGTCTTGCCAGTGGGGCACGAAACAGTGAACTGAACCAAGTTCCTCTGCTGGGCTGCCTTGTCTCCAAGGTTCCTGTAGCTGGATGAGACCTCCTGTCCAGAGGTCCTCGTGATAGATATAACCTCAGACTCCCCTTGCCTCCCAAATCTCCTTGGTGCTTAGGGCCCCCTCCACCTCC